GTCTCTCTGTCTGTCTGACCGCTGGCCCCTCTCTCAGGCAGCGATGTGGAGTCCATTCTGTCTGTCTGACCGCTGGCCTCTCTCTCAGGCAGCGATGTGGAGTCCACTCTGCGTGAGCTGGGGTTCGGTTACCGAGCGCGTTTTGTGCAGCAGAGCGCCAAGCACATCCTGGACACGGGGGGTCCTGATTGGCTGGAGTCTCTGCGGGACGTCCCGTACCTGGAGGCACAGTCTGCGCTCCGCACTCTGCCGGGCGTGGGGCTGAAGGTACCCTGCCTCCGCCCGCCTTTACCTGTCTGTATACTGTCTTTACACTGTCCCTGTCCACCTGTCTGTCCTTACACTGTCCCTGTCCACCTGTCTGTGTGTGTACTGACCCCTGTCTGCTTTGTGTCGGACTCTTGGTGACCCTTTCCTCTCTGACTCCCTCTTCCTGTGTAGCTGTGCTCTGTTGTCTGTGTGTAGCTGTAGCCAGTAAGTCATCAGTAGAATTGATTATTTCTCTTGATCAAGATAATGGCCGCGCTGCCTGTTCACAGCCCAGGGAAATGGTGAAACTTGCAGAGGGAGTCCTGAGCTGCAGAGGTGTGTTTCTCCGGACAGGTGGCTGACTGCGTGTGCCTGATGTCCCTGGACAAGCCGGGCGCTGTGCCCATCGACACCCACGTCTGGCAGATTGCGCGCCGTGACTACCTGCCCGACCTGGGCAGCGGGCACAGGAGCCTGACGGACAGAGTGTACCGCGACATCGGTGAGGCCGGGGCCGCAACCACAGGGTCGGGACCGGGTGCTTCATCAGTACCCTGTCAGTGCAGTGATCTGATCAATCACTGTACGTTACAATACCAAAGCAATACAGCCATCTATACATCATCGGTTCTCCGTCAGTAGACGCCTAAGGCATTGGGAAACCAGTACGCAAGTGGTCCGGCACATGAGTACAGTGTGTCTTCCAGCTGTCTAAGAGAAGGTGTCCTACAGCCACGCTGCACTCAGCTCTCAGTGGTGCCTCTGTCTCCCTGTCCTCAGGTGA